GCGTATGGTAATTTTCACACTCTTACCAGCAAGCATTGCTTCTTCCCATGTAGTGCAGCTGGGTGGGGGATATCTGGCAAATCAGCTTAAAAGTAACTTAGAAAGGCCAAAATCAGATATTAATTATTAAAGCACATACAGACATGTCTAGGGGAGCCATGCCTTTTCAAACTAATTAATAATGCAGTGTAGGTCATTGGTTGTATAGAGTTGATCTTCAACTCCTAGACAGACTGGTTAAAGCCTCAGCATGCCACAGCAGTAGATCTTCTGTGTATTAAAATAAAACAGGCGCCAGTGTAGAAATTTGAGGCATGAGGCTATGTACAGTGTGTTCCCTCAGCACACTACCTGAACAGGGTAATGCCCACACCATTCAAATATTTTTTACCTTTCCCCTGCATCTCTAGGGTCAGAGACCCACCTTGACTTTCTCTGCTTACGGAACCCACCAATGTGCAGGTGTGTTTTGTTATGGTCTCGAAGGATTTCCAAAGCACACCGATACAGATAACATTACTAATTTGTTGAAAAACATTGTTTCAGACATTGATGTCCTGGAATAGAGTCTATTCTATAGAAAAATGTCAAGAGTAATTACTCCCTGAAATAATAGGGCCTTCGGTTGCATATTCTCAAAAGAGGAAGGGTGGAGCACTAGAATTAGTGTGATCAAATTAGTTGAAGATCATAGTGATCTGTACTAGGACCACTGTTTCTCGTAATTTATAGCAATGATCTAGAGTCTAGTAAGTCTCCAGATGATAAATTAAGAGGGATAGGAAACACTGCAGAAGTAGCCAGTGAAGTTGAAAATATATAGATAAAATTCAAGACTGGGCATACATCTAGCAGATGACATTTAATGTAGACAAGTGTAGGGACTGGCTTACAGGTGACAAACATAAACTATAAATACCAAATGGGGAAACTGCTAAATTGAAAAGGCTGCTGACACATCATTTACATCTCCAAACAATGTGGGGAAGCATTTAAAAGGCCCAGAAAACGTTGTAAAGCATAGATGTTTAATGAAGGGACGATACCTTAAAATCATATAATGCACTATAAAGACCTCACTTTGAATGTTATGTACCTTTTTGAAAAATATTGCTGATCAGGAATCAGTCCAGAGATGAGCAACCAGAATCGGCATTGGGCTTAAGCCTTTTAAATCTTGACAGAGTAATTAATGAAGGGACCTGAAACAAATTGTCCACATCTTTGAGGTATTTGAATAAGAGTGAAACACAAGTAGAACTGGCTGTCTGTGAAGGCACTTCCTTACCCCAAAGTGTGCTGGTGGGGGAAAACTGAAAGGAATACCCCACCATGTAGTTGACGCTGATGCCCTGACTTATTTAAAGATCAGGCTAGGTGTGAACCTCTTATTTTTTAACCTTTGCTATGTTCTTAAATGTCAAGGATCCCAACACATAGCATTGTACAAAGAAAGTTGATGACAATTGATTTGACATCCTTCATCGTCTGTTTTTATCATCCGGAAAGAAATGAAAACGGAAATGTGAGTGGATGTCAGCCAGTGATTTGTGCAGCTGAGTTTGAACTGAATAGCCTCCGAATCTCAGTTGCATGGCTGTGTTGATTGCAAACGTGATGTTTCATTGTGTCGATGGAAATGAGAGGTATTGGGATAATCCAAGGACAGTGCTGCCATGTCTTTCTAATGAGAACCAGGAGTGATGCAAGCATTCAGATTTTCACAATAAGCTCCCTGAATGCTAATTAAAAAAGAATCATGACAACCGGCGTATTAGTCTGTCTGCCAGGCTTTGGATCATAAGTTTAAAAAGAAGTGGTTTGGAAGGGTTCAGTATTTAATAAAGTACTGTGTGACATTCTGAACTACCTACTTCCATATGTTTGTGAAAGACCCAAGTGATTCTTAAAACCCAAGAGGAAGATGTGCATTTGAAATATGTTGTAACGTTTTTGTAGTGCAGGCAAGGATATCCACATGTTCAGAATTTGGAGTGAAGTGATTATTAATTCACAGTGGCTCTCACAGTTTCAAATCCCCATGGAATAAAGTAGTAATGAAAGATGAATTGTTAGAAAAAATGAACGTTTTGTGCTGTAGGTAATGTTTAGAATGAAAATGTGTGTGTTTTTTATGTTTTGGAAATTGATCTTGATTTTATAGGTTCTTGTCTTGATACTACTAGTATGACATAGTCTTGATACTACTAGCCTACTTCTTCAGGTTTGTGTTTACGGTTTATGCTTTTTTCACTTTCTGAGATGGAGGTAGAATCATTTGCATTTAGCTGTATATGCTCGATTATCTTTCTTAACTTTGATTGGAAGCTGTTTAAAGGGCAAATCACAACAGCTTTCAATATGCTTTGATAAAGGAAGCTATAATCCTAAAAATGTCTTGCATTGGGCTGTCATAAAAATTAAAAGCAGAATATATATTGATGTTCATAAGTTTTTTTTTTACCCTTAATGTGACTTTTTCATTAGGAAGTTCAGCAGTCTTATACATAACATCCCCTCTGCACAGAGGACCCTAATTAAAGAATATAAATGTTAATTGGAGGAGACACAAGCTCCTATATAACTAACATCATATATATATATATCTCATAAATCATTCCTGGTGAAAACCCCTCTTGAATGTAACTTGCTTGGCCGGATCTAAAAGAAAATCAAACAGCTGTTCTCTGCTCTTTTAACCTTCACACTAAGTCTTAAAATTGTCATGCAGACCAGTGAAAAAAAAAGACTTAAAAGTCTGAAGAGATGCCGAGGAGGTGGAAGTAACAGTGGAAAATGGTTTCTGTGATGTCATCCAAGAAAATGAGCAGCTTGGCTTTAGCACCTGAATGTTTGTGTGGTTTAAATTAGCAGATGCTGATGGAAATGCATTTGAAAAAAAAAATGTTGAATTTTAAGTCCAATAAAATACCAACTCCTGAACTGCTTTAAATTACACTTGGTAACCTGCTTACTATTACTTTACTGTTTTCCCAGATTTTGGGAGGTAGTCTGCTTTCATCTTTTAGTAACATCTGTGGCATTGTCTTTTAAATAATCAGCTTCTGACATTGAAGCTTTTTTGATCTTACAATGCTTTTATTTTCTAACGATATGTCTTTTAATTCAAAATATGTCATTTGTTCTGAATTATTACCTAGAAAGAGAGCAAGTTAGGCATAGTTTTATAAACGGCCTAAATATTACGTTTAAGCATGGGTTCTGTTCTGACTGCACAGTCTCCAAAGTCCATGGAGAAAACTGTCCTGTAGGTATACAAAGAAGTAGTCTTTGCCTTTCACCTGTCATATCCTTTTCCAAATTCTCTGTGGAAAGTTTCAGTAATATTCCATTATCTATATGTTTCTGATGTTATCTGCACTGGAATTTGAGCCTGCTACCTCCTAATCAGTTGTGCATACACATCTAATAAGTCAGTTAGCTTTGAAATGCACTAATGGTTGGATAAATTAAGGTTAAAAATTCTGTCGGCTGATGTTTTTTACAATGGTTTGTTGCCATTAGTACTGCTGTTTTTTTTTAACTGCACATATTTTTAATTTGCCCCTTCGAAACCAAGTATTTATATTAATTTTGAGGTGTTAAGCTCAGATTTGTGGAGTGTATCATGTTAACTTTACAATTTAAACTTTAAGCTTTACATTTTTTTCCCACCACAAAGTCATTGGGTTCGTTTCCCATGCTGTTTATGTTTAACTAGGTTCCCTAGCAACCTGTAAAGATTCTCATTGATGGGTTGGGAAAGGAAACAATGATTCTGTAGGAAGCTGAAAGAGATTTGGTCTTTTTTTCACACAGCTTTAGCTACTGACTACTTGTGACTACATCAGGAATATACTGTTCAAGTTCAAGTCTCTGTATAATTACTTGTTAATTAGTATGCAGTAATTAACACCATTAATGCATGTGTATTTACTGTGTACTCAAGTACACACAAGTACAAAAAAAGAGACTGAACCTGGAACCAGACCATTCCAAGATTAGGCTAGAGCTTTAACACAGTAAATTTGTCATTTGGAATTATTTCTCTTGATTGTGTGCAATATATTTAATTAATTTGTATTTGTCACAAAACTTTTGACTTTTTATTTATCATGTCTCTTTAGAAAATGACAGTTTAGAAGATTGCAATATACTGTATGCCATGTCTTCAGTTTTTTATGTTTTGCAATTTAAATGTTTATAATGCAATTTTTGCTTCACTAAAAATATATTGTTCTGTTTTTTTTTTTTGGGGGGTAGGAATCTGTTGGTTTGCTTCCAACTATACTGAGAGAATATTGTATAGTTGTTATTTTAAATATTTATTTTTACCCATTTGTTGCTGTTAATGAAATGTGTACATGTTTAAGCTTCTAAATATTGGAATTCAAAGTAAAACCCCTCTCTTCTGTCAGAAGTCAACATTTTTCTTTCTTTTAAATTAGATTATAAGACCAAATTAAATTTAACTATATTAATTGATTCTTTAAGATGTTTTAACTGTAGTTGCAAATAGGAAAAAGACTTATTTTGATTTTTATTAGAAGAACCTATTTTGGATACAAGTCAGATTTGTGAAGATTGACTTCGAAATGCAAGAAGAGTTTTAATTTGTGCCGCGAGAAAGAGTGAATTCTTTTAATCCCCGGGCACTGTCCCAGAGATGCAGGCCTTGTGAGTGACTGAAAGACATTGGGGATGGATAAAGATTAGGCCCCCCTGCTGCTTTCTAATTATTGGAATCTGAGAGATCATTTATGAGGATGAAGTGATGCATGCAGCGTTTGCATCGAAGGCATAGCACATGTAACATGATTGCAGAAGGGAGATTTTCTGACTCTGAGGGATGTCATGGGGAAATGCTTCTAAACCCAAGCCGTGGAATTCCACTAACATTGAGATAATAATTTGCTCAGTCAAATTACCTTCTTTTTACCCCTCTTTAACAAACACTTGAGGAATTGAGACCTTAATCCTCGACTAATGTCAATCCACAGGCTGCTAGAAAACGCAAGATTGCCATTCTCAAAGCACAAGGGAGAAGCACAGAAGCCATCCGGGAGTTGAATGAGTATCTGGAGCAGTGAGTGTTTTACAAGAGGATTGAGCTGTGTATTTCTGATAAACCTTTTTTAATTAAAATGAAATTTGCATTTTATTTATAATCCCCTCCCCCCCCCACCACCTCCTCCCTTCGTTTATGTATGACATATTTTTTTCTCTCTTGCAGGTTTGTTGGAGACCAGGAGGCATGGCACGAACTTGCAGAACTTTACATCAATGAGCACGAGTACTTATTTTTTTTTCCCCCATACGATTCATATGTTGGGCTTGCACTGAAAATTTCAGATTGTGTCTTTATGATATTACAGTATTTCACAAATATAAAATAACAAACCGGTTCTGCCCCCACTTCATTTTATTTTGTTACATGATAATACCGAGAACATTTGTATAAAATTCTCAGTTATTTCAGTTGTCTTTGTTTTCTTATGTCTCCGATAACAATCTGGGTTTTGATTAGCGTAGTGCAAGGCCTACTTTAAGATAAGTAGCCATAAAAATGGCTTAGTTTTCTTTTACAGGTTGTTTTCTGAACCCCACTACAGTGGTCAACAGCTTGATCCAAGCGGGTTGTTAGACATCACAATAGGCCATGAAATGCCAAGCTCTGCTGGAGTCATATTGAGGATTGTCCGTGTTTGTTTCGTGGAATCAGAGTTTAATAGGATTTCAGTTTAAGCCCCTCATACTTGTAGGGTAAGAAAGAACTTCCTGTAGTCCTGCTGATAACTGAGTTGCTAGGGGAATTGTCTGTGAGACAAGCATGGTAAGAAAATCATTTCGTATGTGTCACTTTTTATCCCTTATAATTGTTTAGAGCTAAGAATTAGTATTTAAGGCCTTCAGCACTGCCTAGTCGGTCACCCAGGTAGGGAATTGACAACTCCAGGAATGTTGACTGCAGTAAGGAGCTGATTATTGGATATTTAATGTTTTTGTCAGAGGTTTTTATTGCTGTAGTGGCAGGAGGAAATCCCAGTGTGAGAGGATTAGCTCAGAGCTTAGTTCAGGTTTTCTAATATCACAGTATTAATTCCAGCTCCTATCTAAAGGCGTGTCAATTTTTTTTTTGTGTGTCGCAATCTTTACTTTCCTGCTCTAGATTGTATCACATTATTGCCTCCCTTTTCCATGGAGAGAATAGCCCAGGCAAGATTCCCAAGAGAAGGTGGAGGCCCTTTCCAAACCAGAAAAAAAAACTGGCTGAGAAGGAAAGAACAGAAACAAATAGTCAACTCTTGCAAAAAGATCATAGGACGCTAAATATAAACTTGTCCCTATTTATAGTCTGCTATAATTGAACCGTTAAACAGGATTTAAAAGTTGTTTAATAGGAAGCAAGGAAAATAAATTAAAATGATTTGTTTGTACTCCTGTTAAATTTACCATAAAATATGTCTTTAAATACTGTGAAGGAACAGTTATGGTAAGATTGTACAGTGTTGCTATGATGTAAAATAGTGCAAGGGACTGAATGTATCGGAATGTTTTAAACATAGTTTAAATGAAAGGTTTACACTGTGCACTTTTATATCACATAGACACTTTATTTCCTCCAGTATTTGATTGCCTGCAAATTAACTTGAAAGAGTATGTTGAAACACCATACATGATCTTTTTACTGTATTTAAGTGGCATCAAATGTGGTGTTAGTTTTACTTCAAGTTAAAAGAGTTACCTTTTTTAGTACGTACCAGTTTGGAGTATACAAAGCTGTTAGTATATCAAGTTTTATTTGTACAGTGTCCTGACAATATGCACAGCACTGGCTGTGGTGTTTCACAGATAAGCAGCTTTGAGCAACTAAAACTGCTGCAGGAGAACATATGAAAGTATTTATGAGAAGGAAGCCATAATTGTAAGCAGGCTGCGACCTTCAGAGTCGTCAGAGCTGATCAGCTCCCTTGAACCAATCTTAACTTTGAAGTCTATTAAATGGACATTAAGTGGACTAATAGCCACTGCATTTCATGTAGCATAATGTCTACATTCATGTTCTGCTGAAGTGCTTGGGCATTGGATTGAAATTTTCACTGCCCGGTGATAAGATTACACATGGATTAGCTTTGCATATTTGAGTCCCATTTTAGTTTTAGAAATTCACATGTATGTGAGGTCACATAAGAACTGGCAATATGCAGGCACTCTATCTGTGTAAAATTTGAGTTGCATGCACCTTGTACACAGTACTTAAATACTTGCACAATGATTGTGGTTAAGAGAGGGTTTATGAAGTACAATCTGACATACCAGTTTTGTCTTTTTCATCTTCTTCTAAAGCTACAGTAGTTTCTTGGTGTTAACATCATGTTCTGTGTTAAATTACAGTAGTTATACACTTTTCGGGTTATTCGAATGATTTATGTTTTTGCGTTATTTAAATGCAAATGCCTAAGAATACTTGCTTGAATTTTAACACTACAGTAGTTGATAGTTACAATGCTGTTATGTTCTACAGTTGTGGGCTATAATAATTCAAATATGGACTAAAGTTCTTTAATATGACTGATTCCTGCGTTCAGTGGAATGGCCTGAGAATAAGAAAACACAATGGGCTTCTCCTTCCTTCATCTATACTTGTCAACTAACACTGACTTTCCTGGCACCTCTAAATAGCCTCAACTAAAATTCTGCACTTCAGATTATAGTTTCCTTAGGGAGTTGTACTAGAAAGACCTTTAGGAGCAATTTGGGAAAACAAAATATCCATATAAAAACTGTAAGGGGTGATGGTAGTAAAATGGATGGATGATGTTTTATTGAAAATCAGTGTCACTGTTATTGTGCTGTTAGTTGTGCTTTCTCACTGCACAGTAAAAAAGTAGGATAGTTTCTAACTGAAAAAATTAATAACATTAACGTTTTTTTTTGTGTGCTCAAGCTATGCGAAAGCTGCATTTTGCTTGGAGGAGCTGATGATGACAAATCCTCACAATCACTTATACTGTGAACAGTATGCAGAGGTGCGTATTTGACCAAAAAAGTCCTTTACCTCTGAAATGTTATTTTGAGATTGAAAAAGAACCCTGCAGGATATTATTTATGTTTTTGTTAACCTTTAACTGAGTGCTAAGTTTATGCCACACAAACGTTCCAAAAATTGACGCATTGTGATAGAGGACCTTTTCTGAGAGAATAATAATAATAATATCACTTTATTAACCCTTTACAATTTCTTGCATTAGGAATTTGTCTTTTCGCATACCCCAGCTTGCTCTCCATGAGACACACAGACACACAGATAGGGAGAGAGCCTGGGGTCAGAGCGCAGGGTCTGCCATTGTACAGCGCCCCTGGAGCAGATGGGGCGCAGATCCTTAGCCACAGAGCCACCGCTCCAAACATAAAAAGTAGCAGATGATTTTTGTCGAATATTCAACAATTTGCATATGAATGTATTAGAGTATGTTTTTAAGGGAACGTGAATTGTAACTCTTCATTGTTTGTTTTCTAGGTTAAGTACACTCAAGGTGGAATTGAAAATTTGGAACTATCTCGGAAATATTTTGCGCAGGCGCTGAAGCTAAACAATAGAAATGTGAGAGCTTTGTTTGGCCTTTATATGGTGAGTTCAAATATAAGTCACAGCGTCTTCTCTGAAACATTAGTTCTGATCAAGTTAACAGTTTTATTCTAATCTGCTGGCTATTGCGTGTGGAGATATTTTCAGTCCATTTAGGAATGGAGGTAAAAGTGAAGAAGAGACATTGGACATCTTATAAATACATAGTTTTATCGCATATGCTTAATTAGAACTCCATAATATTGACACCCTATATTTTTTTACTTTTTGGATATAATTAAAATGCAAATTTCTCTATATAAAAATCTTTTTTTTTAATTTGTAAGTCATAACTATAGAAGACATGTAGTGCAAATAATAGGTCAAAGATCCAGAATTTAAACGTTTGTTGTTGTGCTAGAAAGTTCAATTGTAATTGTTTGATTTTCTTTAATATTTCTAGTGTGCCTGCTTTGTTTACACCTATTGTATTTTTATTTTCTGACATCTAATGAGAATCCCTATTCAGCAAAATGTCATCAGAGTGAGGGAATAGAAAAAAATAACTTTTATTCTAAAATCCAGAAGCAAGAAAAGGAAAAGCCATGCTACTGTATTTAATATTTCAGCAGATACATAGAAAAATCTTTAATGTTCTGCCCATTTCAGTTTTCTGGGGTTTGTGTCTTAGAGATGATGGCAATAACATATAAAAGACATAGGATTTGTGGTTAAGAGTGTAGCTGTTCTGTGGCTGAAGAGTATGATTCACATTTTTCTCCTTTCACCACACGTTTTTTAGGAATTGTCAAGCTTGTCAGCAGTTGGTATCTGTAGTGTTTTGTAAATTAAAGCACATCAAGTGGTGATATGCCTTCTCCTGTACAACACAAACTTTTCAAAGCAGCTGTATAGCCAGTACATTATGAGATCATGCAGTGTTGTTGCTAATAATTACAAGTATTATGATCTGACTGTACCGTTACAAACCATTGAGGGTATGTTCCTTTGTAGTTAGGGCCTCAACTAAGTCATGGCAAAACTACCAATAAATTGGACCTCTGCTGACTGTATATGATTGTGAGCTGAAGTGATAAAAGGAACGTATGCATATTTTGCATATACTGATTTATTTGACTATAACTACGCAGTCCTGCAAATCAAACCATAGCAAAATCAGTCCTAAGAAGACCACCTGTTTCAGGCATTTCTTTAAAACCTATACTCCATACTAGAATCAGTTATGTTTCCCCAGTAGTTTTTCTGTGCTTAATACCATCTCTGAGAGAATTTTCTAGCACAGCAACACAGCTTGTGTTTGTAGGCTCTTCTGAAATCCTTTGTCCCCCTGCAGTCCAGATTTATCCAGAGCAGAATGTCTCATAAAAGCAACACAAACTAAAGGCTGGATATACCAGTAGGTGGGAGTTACATGTGCAGATCTGACTGCTGCTGTTTCAGAGGGAAGTCAGGAAAAATAAACAGTCTGCACCACAACACCCAGCAGCTGAAGTGCATGCCGTGAAGAAAACCTCATGTCCTTACGTTCGGGAACATGCAGAGAAGGAAATGACTCGCTGTGGTTCTGTGTTTAGCAGTGTCGTCTCCATACACTGCTGGAACTAGCAGAAGCAGCCAAACATTGCACAGTCCTTAATTTTCACCATATCGCAAATTAAGTCGGGTCCTATTTCTTGTCAGATTGTTAGAATAAATATTGCTCTTTACTGCCATTATCATAAATCAGTTCTACTTTGGAAAAAATCGTATTAATTCAAGAAAATATTTATATATCTTGTGTTCCCTGTATGATATTAATCTTGTATTTTAAATACTCCGCAAAAATTAGTGATCAAATTAAAAAATCTTTAACCATTGAAAATAACAGAAATGTTTTTGTTTAAAACCACTGGTATTCTGTGTTAACCATTATTAAACTCAATTCCAGATGAGAAAACTTCACATGAGCATGATGAAACATTAAAAAAACGATGGATTTCTTGGAACGCAGATATTTAATATAACATTTCAAGACACATCCCCAAGAACAGGCTTGCATTTTGAGCCCATAAGAAATTGTCCAATGCAATGTAAATCAATGAATAAGGAAACTTGTATTACTATCATAAAGAAAATAGTATATACAGTATAAGAAATTGTCACAACGGACATTAGAACAGTTGTCTAAAGAGTTGTTTAATATTATAACAGTTCAGCCAAATCTGAAATGAAGGGTTATTCTTAGGATGTTTCTTCAATTAAGGAAGAGGATAAGCACCTACTGTTATATGATGCATTTTTCTCTGGAAATCAAATGGCTGAGAAGAATTTAATTTTACAACACGATAAATATTCCTAGATGTCATTTAAAAAGTTTACAAATAAAAAAGGACCCAAAAATATTTCAGGGCTCTTCAGGGAGACAAACTTCGTAGTCCTTTACCAGCCCTGACTACCCAGTTTGCCTGACCAATGTGAGGAAACAGTTTAAAAAAACAGCCACACATTGTTAACCTACCTTTTATGCAGTAAAATTGCGATGTAGAACACTGGAGGTTTTCTTTGCTGAACTGGCACGCCATTTTACTGCCACTACCAAAATGTTCCATTAAAGCTTCTGCCTACCTCTGCTGTGTAAATGGGCTTTACCACTGGCAAATGGGAGACAGAACCAGAATTCATCAGGATGCACCATCTTTGCCAACATCTTGGGAGGAGTTCTCTATGTTGTTGCACAACGTACAGTAGTGCAGCCAGGCGATGTTGAGTCATGGGATTAATATTGTAAGGGCGTCTCTATTTGATACGGGCACTTCTGAATGTTCTGATTGAAAATTGGGTTTGTGTGTCTTACGTGACTCTTAATTTTGTTAACTGCAGTTAGGTGCAGTTGTTTCGGTGTCAAAATGTTCCTCAGACAGTCCTTTCTGAATCTTTTCATGTGGTTGACAGGGTCTGGTCCTGTCTGTTGGCTTCATTAGTAGTGCCTATTTATTTTGGAAGACAGAAACTGAATTTCCTAATGTCCTCATTTTCTGATGTTTAAGCTAAATGTTTCCTATTTTTCACTGCAGTGTCATTGAACCAGATAAGTCGACTCCCATGTGCCATGTGTTTGTTGCCACACCTTTTATCATTTTTTACTCAAGATGTGATCATCTGAAAAGTTCATGTGAGCCGTAACATTCTTCGGTCCATCAGTTTGCATTACATAACCAATTGTCCGGAGTGACAGTCCACGCGTTTGTAAACCAAGTGTGCATAAGCTTGATTTGACTTTCAAAAACTGGTTTCAATCTCTGTGCCATCTCTTTCTACAGTCTGCAAGCCATATTGCTGCTAACCCTAAAGTGAGTGCAAAAGTGAAAAAGGACAATGTGAAGTATGCTGCCTGGGCTGCTAGCCAGATCAACAGAGCCTACCAGGTTAGTATTTAGGACCCTAACCCATCCCCATGTTTTCTTGCGAACCGTTCTGCTTCATCGCCTGGGTATCTTTGTGCTTGGCCTGTCTTAAGACGTTTATTGCACTTAAAGTCTATCGCTGTTGCAAGATCTTCTTAAACTGGGAAAATATTTTTTGCAGATTTTTCCACTTGGGCCTTCAGTGATTCAAGTAAAACCAGAAATGATTTTTTTTTTAAATAATGGTTACAGTGTGTACATAATAAATGCCAGTAGTCTCTCCAATATCAATAACCTCTGCAAGCAGCCTTGCTGTTGTTGTGCCGTTAGGCCAATTGCCAAATAATAGTTCTGAAGTGGGAGTTCACCTTTCCTTACAACACCCTTTAAAGGTGTAGTTAAAACGAATGGTACGCTTCTTTACTTTTTTATATATTTCTGGTCACGTTTTACATTTCAGTTTTGATCAGGAGAAAGCAGGAGGGGCGAAATAAGAACATGTTTGGGAACACTGACAGAATTAGTTGGAATATTCATTCATTTAAGCAGTCTGTGCTAAAAACATTTTTTTTTTTCTCTAACACACCGGAGCCAGTATCAAGCTCTTTTGAAAAAGAGCCAGTGAACTCGTACATGCACAGCTCTACACAGTGCCTGAAGTGTTTATGAAAGTCATGATTAGTTTTTCACTAGATTGTAATTTATAAGAGCCTAACAGGTTGCAAAAGAAGAGATGGCCATTTGGCCCATCTAGGCTATTCGGTTCTTAGCAGCTAATTGCTTGGGGAATTTCTTTCAGCTGTTTCTTGAAAGAAGCCAGGGTTTTGGCTTCAGCAGCGTGGCTGGGTAGCTTGTTCCATACTTCCACAACCCCTTGTATAAAAGTGCCTCCTGATCTTAGTTTTATATGTGCTTCCACGTATTTTGCAAAATACAAAATTACTGTGTATTATGGTCATCGCATCATCTTCATCTGGGTTGAATTTTAGTTCTCTTCCATTATTGTATTAAAAATCTGTTTCAAGCGATCTGTTTTTAATATTTGCAATATATTCACATTGATGGATGTGATTTTACTTCATTGCCGTAGAGATACAAGTGAGGCTGAAGTACATGTATTGAACACTTGCTTAAAACAAACTATACTGTTCTCTGAAATGTCTGTTTATTATAACCAATATTAAAATTGCTAATAATTAACCAGTAATAGCTAGACAAAAAAGTTACAAAGAACTATGTTGGCTGTATTGCTGCATTTTAAATCAGTTTGTCTACTTGAATTAACATGCAAGTTAATTCCTTACCCTTGAGTTTTAAAATTATATTTCGCTTCATAAAAGCGAACAGTGAAATTCTACTTTGTGTCGTTCCATTTTATCTTTTACGAAATTAAAATTCTTAATGATTGGGGATAATTGACATTTAATTTAGAAGACAAAAGTTGTTTAAAAAAAACCACACCCAGTGATAAGATTGATTGCTGGTTTCTAGAACAATATCTTAAACATGAAGTTAAAAAAACTCATTCAATTTGACAAACATGTCAACTGAAGTATCCGTCTCTAAAAAATAAACCTTTTTCAATGCACTCAGTAGCTTTTATGTTATACCCTTTTTGTATAAATCCTTCATACATTTAAGGCTCTGGAGTAGGGTCTGGTGTGAGCCATGCTTCAATTCCAGTGCTATTTCATTTGCTGCTATGCTCTAGAAATATTCTAGATTGGATTAATAATTTAAATTTTTTAAACTAAGAAATGACTTTAACCCATTACTCATAAGCTTGTGAGATAAATGAACTTAAAAAAGGAAGTTAAAATGCAGCCTTCTTGCTCTTTGAACCTTTTTAAAGGTTCAAATGCAAATTGTAACATAGCTTGATCTATAAATACATTTTGGAATGATACAACATTGCACTTAATTGGTAATACACTAATTTATTAGAAAAATAGTGTAGAATTTCAGTTCCACAAAGCTATTTTGTTTGTTGAAAAGGTTGCGTTTCACACAGATGGTTTATATGTTAATGTAATTCTATCAGTTCTATCAGTTCATGATTCATGTAGTTGAAAAAAAGTTTCATTAAATCCCAAGGGGAAACTATTTAGATCTACCACTGCTATGTGGTAGTAAGAGGAAAAAATGAAACAATATTCAGATGGTATCACTAAAGTAGTTTACAGTGTTGCTATGGCATGCTGGGCATAAATTAGTATTTAATAGAAATCTTAACTACTAGTATTGAATATACATTGCTTATTTAGGCATTTAGAGTTAAATATGTAATAAGTGGTTCCTTACTCAGCAAGTGCGCTCTTAACGTTGTACCAAACCATCAGAACATTTAACAGATGAGATTTGCCACACACTGAGCACTTCTGGCTTTGTGTATAAGCACACCAATTCGCGCTTAAGCCAAACAAAATGTGGAACTGATAAGTTTCCATTACTCGGTCTTCACTGAGTGTGTACACCACTCGGTCTGTGTATAGGAAGAGCTTGATCTCGGGTTTAATTATTTTAAGACCGGTTTTAAAATTTTAATGAGAGGGCACATTCAATTAAGAATTCTGTCAGTCTTTGGAGGATCTTTGGAAAATGTTCGTGCTGACTTGTATTTTCCATATTTGTTGGATTCATGGTTTGCTTGCCGTTTACTTCCTGAAAAGTTTAAAGAGGTGTTCTAAAAAATGTCACATAAAAAGCCCATCTTTTTAACGATTGCCTACATCTTTTAACATTTTTTTTATTTTTACATGTAAATGCAGGATTTTTTTAATTATTATTTATTGACTATAGGTGTCTATTTTTTTTTTTATTTTAAGGAAAAGGCAAGCATGGGGCCTCCAGACATGGACTGAGTCAGATTTTACATTGTTTAAAGATTAATGATAGAGAGAGATTTTTCTTGCTCGGACGGGAGTCCTAGCTCTGAAGATTGGGAATGTCATGACAAACAAGCCCAGCACCTGATCCAGATGTTTTTTTAAAATCCATTCTTAAATAATAGAAACAAAAAAATCCTTAATTAATTTCTGTGGCAAGAGAGTAGACAATTGGGTAATAATATTCACAGCGGTTACAATACAGTATGGTATTGTGATGTAAGGGAAGAAAAATACAGTGAATATTGAGAATCAGTCAGCATGTTCCAGGGTAGTCTGGGAAAAGTTTAGCTTGCTGTTTTGTTTTTCATGCATTCTCTCTCACCTAGCTAATATTTTACAAGGTAAACCTTAATTTTTTAAGTAGTAAGTTCTCACTTTTAGCTGTTAAGGCAAGGACGTTTGACCTCTGTGTTTTCAAGCTTCGATGATTTTTATCTTGAGGTTCCCAAGAACCATAATGGAATTTAAGCTCCCCCTGCATCAAAGCTCATTCTTGAGGAATTGGAACTCCCTAAACATCTGATTAGGACCATTTCTGTGTGCCTGGGAATAAGGACCATAAAAGAAAAGACCTTCTGTTCCCTTCAAGTCACAGGCATAACTTTCTTTATCAGCTGGGGAAAGGAAGTAATAAGTAGTCTCTGCTACTGCTTAAAAGATGTTGAGCTTTTTTGTTTGTTTTACCTTTTTTTTTTGTTAATCACACCAGGCAGTTATGGGAACCTACTGTGTGCCTGAAAAGGTAGATAGATTATACCTTCTGGTTAAATTTTCTTTTTTAAATTAAAGGGTATGATCTTGGTGCCTCTAGGCTTTAAGCAAGTACCATTGTACAAATTTTTTGCTCAGGACAACTTGTTGCTTTGGGATATTTTACTGATTGATGTTTAACATTAAAGGTAGCAGTTTCCCAGTACTTAACTTTATTGCATTGCAGTACCTGGTGGTTATCATACCTTAATGTGAGAAAAATTGTACGCTAAGCAGGAGTGGATAGGTCTGCGCACAGAGGTCAGGCAGAGGTCATAGCTGCTTGGGAAAGTCTTTAATACAAACTTGTCAAGATGACCACAGGCTTGAGGCATACAGGTCTGTGTTATTTGGTCTCATTTAGCTGTCTTTTGGTGGTTTCTTTCTGATGAGATACTTAAATTCTTGAAGAATTGTATGACGTTTGTATCTTAAGTCCTGGGGTTCATTACACTACATCTAACTTATATACCACTGAATACCAAACAGCCATAGAAGGCCTTGCTTGAAAAAAGTGGTATCATTTCTGTTGTGTGTAATTATTTACATTAATACATATGCTATTGTATTTTGAGGTATGACATTGTGTGCTACGTTGCTTGAAAGACATTGCCTTCAGGGTATAAATGCAGATCAGCACTATAATGGAAGGAGTTGTTTACTCTCTTAACAGAGCTGCGAAAGCGAGGATCTTTGGCACTACGGTGCCTGGATTTCAAACAGGTATGGAAAGTTATTTGTTGTGGCATGTCTTGTCATTCAAACCTTGCGTCACCTTGTCATTGAAAGACCCTAGGTGGACATCAGAAAAGAATGTTATCTAGTGTTGAAATGGTTGCATACTTTTGCTTTTCTAGCTTCAGTTCTTTTGTTCCTCCCCACCATAAGAATGGACTATTAATTCTTGATCGCGTCTTTTTTCATGCCTCAGCACAGTCACCATTGACTGGTACAACTTCCTCATTTAGTATCTGTATACTTGACTTAATATGAATCTCAATAATAAGTTTGATTTATTTTTGGCTCGTTTCTGAAGAGAAACTATAGCACAACAGCCATGTAGAATCTAGCCAGGAAACTTACTAATTAAACATTTTTATATTTTCCAAAATAAAAATCAACAGTTTTTGAAAAAATCTGAATTATAATTGTCTCAAGTTTGATTCTCAATAGAATCTGTTTGTACATTAGAACATTTTTAAATGTTCTTGAATTTATCAATGCCTTTCTCAACCATTTAGTGATTTTGAGACAGGCCAATTGATGTATTACACAAGTTTAAAATAACTTGGTCATGCCTACCTAGGGCAGATTAAATAATTACATAAAAATGTGCTTACAGCAGGAGTCAGAAATACAGTGCCTATCATCCTTTAATGGTGT